CATGGAACTAAGCAGGGATAGACCAAGTCAGTGCTTGGATGGGAGACCTGGACACCTGTGGGGTGGGAGCAGGGGGCTTCGGAGCCTGGATGCCAGGGCTCTGGGAAGGGGGGGGGTCCCCAACCATTGATGTGAGCCTCTTGACAAGTGTGCCCCAAGGAAGCCCCCCCCACCACTTTTTCTCCTCCAATCAGAGACCAGCACCCAGACATGGGATCCCAGCATGTGCCTTTATTGTCCGTGGCAATGACAGTCTATCCTCCCCCAAGGAGAGGACCCCATCCCTGGGACCCCCACCCCTCGCAAACCAGATCTCTACCAGGATCCACTTGCTGGACCACCCCTTCCCCCCAGGATCTTCACCAGAGCCACCTAGGGGTAGAAACTGAGTGGAGCTCCCACAGGACCTGCTTGAAAGAAGGAATCTGATGGGATCCTGAATTGGTCTCTGGAGGATGTGGTCCCCGGTGCATTCCCCGCCCTTCCCACAAGCCCAGCAGCAGAATCTCTGCCCCCCGCCCCCGGACAGCAGGAGCACGGGGACTGGCTCAGACCTCAGCAGATCCCGAGGGGGAGATATGGATCCCTGGTCTGCTTTGAGGGGATCTAGACTGGGACAAGCTGAAGGTCAGGTCTGGGCAGAGCCAAGTGGATATGCCCTCAGGATCTGTTCACTTGATTCCCCCCCACCTCCTGGAGATTTTTTTTTTTGGGGGGAGGGGGGAACTGAGGGGACCATGGCAGGGAATAAGGCCACTGGGTCCTGTCTCCCCCCATGGACCTGGGATTGGCCTTCACAGGGGTGAGTGGGGTAGATGACCCCCCTCCAAAGCCATAAGGATCCTACTGGGAGACCCCAGGGGACAGCAGTGGGGGGTCCTATGGGCAGATGGACCTATAGGAGGTCTCAAAGGGGGGGGGTGTCTCTGAGGGGGACTTTCCGCTAGTGTAGATGTGGAAGCTGTGGTGGGGGAGGCCGTGGGAAGGTCTGGGGGGGTGGCGCAGTCCACAGGGGTCCCTGCAGCTGATGTGGATGTGATGGGGGGTCCATGGGGGCCAGTCAGCTGCTACAGACACGGTGGAAATCGTGAGCAGAGGTCTGTGGGTCCTCAGCTGATGCAGACATGGTGGAAACCATGTGGGGGTCCCAGGCGGAGGTCCCGGTGGGGGGGGGGTGTCTCA